GAAAACCCAAGTTCACTAGAGGTAAAAAACTGCTTTGTTCTTTATCTTAATTGCATGGGTAAAGAATTCTCAGGCCTTTGCCACCACACCCAACAAATTGCCTCTGAGCAAATGGCTTCCACTGCTGTCCAGGTGCTATGTTCTCAGACACAGGGGCCTTATCTGATCTGAGTACTATATATAGCTTGACTATTCCACATGCTGCCTTACTTAACTGCAAACCTCTGAAGAAGGTGCTTCTAAAATTTATTTATTTATTTAGTGGCACTAATGATTAAACCGAGGGGTTCTTGCCACATCCCCAGACTTTTTTTACTTTTTTAAACTTTGAGACCGGGCCTTGCCAAGTTGTTCAGGTTGGCCTCAAACATCTTGCCTCTGCATCCTCAGTAACTAGAATTATAGGCGTAGCCACCACACTCTGCTACCTGTGCCTTCTCTTAATTATTATTTTCTGTTAACCTTGAAAAACCCAAGCCCTTTCTTGGGTTAGTCACTTGCCCTGTCTCAGTGTCAGTTTCCTCATCTATAAAATGGCACTGCCAGGAACCTTTTCACCACCTCAAGAGCTGTTATAAGGACAAAATAAGAATTAAAGAAAGATCAGTAGAGGAGAGGGAGGGGAGCAAGGGGAACGAGAAGGGGGAAGTGCTGGGGATTGAATTAAGGCAAATTATATTTCATGCTTTTGTGATTATTTAAAAATGTATCCAAATGATATAAATAAAAAGAATTAAATATTTGTTTATAAGGTGTGTAGATTTTATCTAAGCCAGTAAGTCAGTGAAACTGTAATACAGAAAGGGGGAAGAGATAGCAGCCAGTGTCTTTTCCCCTTGCTGGGAACCACCTTGATTTCCAGGAAGGAAAGTTAGGTGAGACAATTGACTTAGATAACAAAGTTTAGGAGGCCTGTGACAAGAGATGGAATATGGAAGAAACTTTCATTTACTGCAGAGAGCAGGATAAACTCAGGTTCTCACTGGCTATCAGTAAGCTGACCAAATTACTCAGTCTTGAGCTCTTTCAGGGGGTCTTTGCCAGTATCAAACAACAATGAAAATAACAAAACCACAAATGACACTGCACATTATCCAGAATTCTTCTACTCTCAAAGGTGGGTGTGAGTGTGCAAGCTCTCTACTAGCAGACAGGCTTGGAACAGTCAGAAAAACTCTTTTGAGGTTCCGACACCAGGGGATGAGCCAGATCTGATGCCAAAGCCATGGTGACTATGGGCTCTCAGAACTGCAGCTGCTCCCCATATAGAATGTCTTACTCTCCTCTCCCTGGTCACCGCTCAGTATCTTTCCAATTTAAACCTCAGTTTTTGGCAGGCTTTCCTGACCCTTGTGTTTCTGTGACCAAGTGGGTCACTCCACCTTCTGAGACCCCTGAGCATTCCCTTCAGAGATTCATCAAACATGTACACTGCAGTTTAGCTCTTCATGCCTTCTTCAGTAGACAGGGCTGGGATGTGGCTCAAGTGGTAGTGTGCTCACCTGGCATGCGCAGGGCGCTGGGTTCGATCCTCAGCACCACATACAAATAAAATAAAGATGAAAACTAGTCCACTGAAAACTAAAAAATAAATATTATAAAAGAATCCTCTCTTAAAAAAAAAGCACACAGCTCATCAGTAACTGTTTACTGAATGAATCCTATAAGTCATGTGTTTCAACTTTTTTCTCGAAGTATGTTCTCTTCTAATATTTTTACAAGTAATTCAACTTGTTGAAGGTTGATTTCTCCCATCTGGACTTTAAACATCTCTTATTGAACGTCTTGACATTGATCTGGGGAGAGCCAAGCAGGTCCCCTGGAGTCATCTCTGGGTCTATTGTCTCTAGTTTGATTTCCACACCTACTAACTAATGTCTGTCTACCATCCTCACTCTTCTCTACATTTTCCTTTGGCTAACTCCATCCTTCCAAAAATGTGGTACCCTGCATGAATAGCAACAAGCAGTGGAGTAATGTTCTGAAGTCTTTAAGTAAGACCCAAATCAAGTATAGATCAAAAGTACCTTTTACAATTCCTAGCTCGCCAATTCTCCTGGAACCCCCGGGGAGAACTCCCAAGTAGGAGAACTCCCAAGTAGCGGGTGCCGGAGGCATCAGGATTGCCCTAATCCCGGAGCCTCCCTATTCCCGCCCTATTCCTGGAGGATCCGCCCTAATCCTGGAGCAGGGTCACCTTTCAACCATTCCCTCTAGCAAAATGCCAGGCGTTATTCCACTAAACTGTGGCTCTCAACATGTGGGAGTCACCCACACTACTTAAATCCTCTCCCAAAGAAGTTATAAATTACGTAACTTCTTTATTTTTTGGTAGTAGGGATTGAACCCAGGGAGCGTAACCACTAAGCCACATCTCCACCCCTTTTAAAATATTTAGAGACAGGGTTTCACTAAGTTGCTTAGAGCCTCACTAAATTGCTGAGGCTGGCTCTGAACTTGCAATTCTCCTGCCTCAGCCTCCTGAGCTGACAGGATTCCAGGTGTGCACCCAGCATGATGCAACTTCTTGAGTGAGCCTTCTAGAAATGATCAAAGATGAGGAGAACAGAACTACCATCTTCCTCATTTCATGCATTTATCCATTTGTCCTATTATTGTTTAAGCAGCTTCCTCCCCCACTCACCTACTCAACACCTTTCTTTATTTCTTTGTTAGCTAACTTTTATAATTAAGTTTAATTTCAGAGGGTATCAGCTTACTGTTCATGAACCTCTGAAATTACATCAAAGTTCCCATGCACTGGAATGAGATTTTAGGCAGGGTATCCAGGCTTCACTACTTTTTCAAAGGGGTCTGAGATGCTGAAAAGTTAAGGATCATTGCCTTACATGTTTACCACATAAGCTGCAAATACAGAGTTGAGTTTTTGTTAAGGAAAGCCTACTTATTTCATCTATTTAACTAACACTATAATCTGGAAGAAGGAGGTGCTGAAGTTACAACCATGAAGTAAACTGTTATCCCCTCTAAACAAAAATACTGGGAGTGTAAAAAGCAAAGCAGCCTTTCCATAGCAGATCTTCAGAGAGAAAACACCTAATTCCCCTTTTCAAGAACTTCATCTTATGCTCATTTTGTTCTGGATGGGCATAACAGGAACATAAAGAATGTGGACACAATACTGGGATAAGAAACAGAAATAATAATGCCCTGGGCTGTACTGAAATCATCACAGATAAAAATATACTAATTCTTTGGTGTGGGGAAGGATAGTATTAAGGCAGCCAATTCTGAAGCAGCTGGGAAGAACAGGTAACCCAGAAAAGTTTCTGGATGCCTGGAATACCACAGAGGAGGGATGATGGCTTCAGAGTGTGGGTATTAATGGTTTTGGACTGGCAAGTTCCCAGAGGACAAGAAACGGCTTCCTCAGGGTAAGTAGTTCTTTACACCCCAAACTCTGGATTAAGTTCCATTAACACAAAAATGAAAGATTATTTTTTCTCCTCCAAGTAATAAAATGAAAATTGTCTTAAAAGGAAAGAAGATATACCAGGTATTAGGTACTTTGGACATCACAAGAATGCTAATATGCTCAGATGCTGTTTAAGGAGGCCATGCCAGGAAAACATATGGCAGCCAACAAGAAGGTGCTGAAGGCAAGCTGTGAATCCAAGCAGCAACTGTTCATCCACCATCTTTATTCTCTGTGGAAGCAGGGAACCTCCTGAACTTTGGGTCAGTGGGATGAAATCAAAAGCACAATGCCCTAATCCCGAGAGACACAATCTCTTATCCTCTAAACTGAGGTTTCCTGTACTTTGGTACAAGGCTGGTTAAAACACTAAGAAAAACAAACCCCCAACCTAGCAAAGATGTTCATACATACCCAGGCTGTGGGACAAACTGCAGAGGTGGCCACCGGTCACACCAGGCAGTCCAGCAGCGGAGAATGCCCTGCTGAGACACACAGAGAGGGTCTTTAATACTCTTCAATCTCTTCTTTCAGTTTCCTTTTTAGAATAGGTACTTTTCGATCCTGTTTGGTCACCCCACCCCTTGAGCTATGTACACTTAGGAGTTTCTTATAAACCACCCATTTTCTCAGAAACGCTTTAGCCTCTTGACCAACCTCCTCGATGAGCCTGTCCAATGAGGGGCGGGCTGGCTGCTGGTGTGTGATGGCGGGGCGGGGAACTGAGACAGATGAAACCCTTAAGAGAACGAGAGTCCTATACACCTTTACTCATTGCATCAGCCACCCCCCCGCCGGGGCTGGCAGCCACATCACTTCCCCACCCTCTTCCTGTTCCCCACCCTAGGCATCTGTAAATTCCCTGAGGCTATTATGCACCGAGGCGGTGCAGTGGGAAGTCCAGAGTGCGGAGGTCGGGAGAGTGCCGGGTTTCACTCCCTGCTCGGGCATCTCCTGGCTGTGAAACCTGGGGCAAGTCACGTTACTTCCCTGCTCCTCCCTCAGTGTCCACGTCTGTGAAATGGGCACAAAGGAACCTCCAGACCCTACCGTGCAGGTGACCAAGGCGACACGACAGGCACTAAAGGACGAGGGACCTTCTGGGACAGGGAGGGAGGGAGACCATGAGGGTCGGCTGCGCCCAGGGGTATAGGTGCGCTTATACCCCTGCGCTTCGAAGCGCAGGCCGGGCTTCGAGGAAGGTGACCCGGCGCGCAGGCTGCCTCAGAGGGCAGGTCCCCGGGTGCCCCCCGCGTCCTACGGCTCCAACACCCCCATCTCCCCGCCTTTACTCACCCGGCCCAGCCGGGCCCGTCAACGCAACCGGCTCAACCACGGGTGCTTTCCTGCGCGTCCGTGGAAACGCAGTCCGGCCGGAATAACTTCCGGACCCGGTGCACCGTCATTGGCTGCTCCTTCGGGGGGCGTGGTGGATCCCGCCTCCGATTGGCTGGCGGCCCCGGCGTCGCGGCGGAACGCGGCTGGGCGGCGCGGTGCAGGCCGGACTGCCTCGGGGAATATCCAGCGCTTCCGGTGCGTGTGGTGAGCGGCGGGCCCCGGGAGGGAGGTTTCTGGGATCGGGCGGCGCTCGGAGCGCTCCCCATCCCACTGCGCGGGTCTTTCATAGTCTTTCGCCTTCCTTTCATTTCCTGTTCCTTCCGAAAGGGCTGTGCTCGGTACTCCCGTTAACCCTTAGGAGTCACAGCGCGGCTAACTCCTATTCATCCTTCAAAACCCGTCTTTGGTGGTGTGTTGTTCGTGGTTTGGTCGGTCTGTGGCTGCGGGACGGGACCCGTGTTTTCTGTTTAACATATGCCCACACCAGACCCAAAGCAGGGCTTGACAGAGTAGGTCGTCAGGAAATGTCTGTTGAATTGAAAACATCCTATTTCGTTTGCTCCCTTTTGCCCTCTCTCATCAGGTTGCCTTCCGCAGATATTTCTAATCTCTTGAAACAGTGGATAGAACCCACAGAAGGTCCTGTCCGCACGAGAAAGGGCCTCTTTTCTCCTGGGCTGGCGCCTTTTGTTCCATCTGGTTGTCTTCCTCTTGATTGAATCATTCATCATTTTTCTTCCCCTTTTCTTTCATCTTAGAAACAAAAGGCAGCAGACACTTCCTGAGTCGACTGTTGTTCCCACCCTCCGTTTTGGTCTGTTCTCCTTGAATTGTCCCTGACTCTCACCCCTGGAGTTGGTTGATTCTGTTGCTTCAGCTGGCTCATCACCTCTGCTCTCCTGCCTCCTTGAGGACGATACCCAGATGGCTTCTAAGGCCTTCTTCAGCCTCCCTAAGAAACTGCAGTACCCCCAGTTCCTTTTTGTAATTTTCTCCTTTTAATGTCTCAATACCTGCTTCCTGTGGCTAACTCGACTTGGGGTGTCTTTCCCCACTGGCTTGTGAGTGTGGTGAGCACCGAATATCCTTTTCTGTTTTGCTTAGTGCTGGTTTCCAAGCGCCCAGTGTTTGTTGAGTGGTGAGTGGAATGTGGAGGGAGCAGAGAGTCTCAGGAGCCCTGCTGTCTATGGGTATTCATCCCAGCCTTTCTGCCTTGCCTTATTTGGGAGTGAAGCTGATGGGCCTCCCTGCTCCCTGATCATCCTCCTTAGGCCTGTCCTGTGAGCTGACCACTGTGGGTGGGGCAGGTGGGAAATCATCCTTCAGGCTGAGCACAAGCTCCCTGGTAGTGGGAGCGTGGTGGATTCTCTTTGGCCTTAAGGACCTGTGATGGGTGGCTCTTGGGTGCAGTGGAGGAGGCTGGCCTTGGGACCTGGTCAGATGTTTTACAGATCACATCACTTGTAGAGCATGGTTCCTTGAGTTTAGAAATAGTCTTTCATATTATGTTCAATTCAGTTTTAGAAGGGCTGGCCAGTTTAGAAGCTCTGGGTGTGGATGTTGTTACTTGCCTGAGGCTGTGGGTGGGGAAGGCTGGCTTGAGACATGAATATGACCTGACCTGGCAGTGGAGCCTTCTGGCTAATGGGGCCATTTGGGGGAAAGGTGTCCAGGGGGAGAGGTGGGTGACAGGCTGTCTGGAATGAGGTAGCAAAGGCCTTGGAGGGAGCCTCTTGCTGGCCTTACTCCACATGTGGAGAGCCACAGGATTCCCCTCAACCCCACTGTGCTGAGGATTGACCCAGGACCTTGTATATGCTAGTCAAGTGCTATACCACTAAGCCACATCTACAGCCCTGTCACAGGTTGGTTGGTTTTTTAATTTTTTTTTTTTTTTGGCAGGGGAACCAGGGATTGAACCGGGGTATTTAACCACCCCTAGTCCTTTTTAATGTTTTATTTTGATAAAGAGTCTTGCTAAGTCACTTAGGGCCTTGCTAAGTTGTTGAGGCTGGTTTTGAACTTTTAGTCCTCCAGCCGCAGCCTCCCAGTCTCCTGCGTATGGTGAGTGGCGCAGGGATTACAGGTGTGGGCTCTGGTGCCAGGAATTACAGGTGTGGGCTCTGGTGCCAGGCTCCACAGGGTGTACTGAAGTATAGTCCTTATCTGTCTTGAATTTTGAAAATGGTTACCTGGGCTCTCAGAGCTGCTAGATCATGCCCTCTGCTGGCCGAGTTGTGACTATTATTCTTGTTTTCTTCCTGCTTTTGCTTCTTGCCAGTAACAGAGTTAATATAATGGACTCCAAACCAAAGCACTTCTTTCTGGGAACTAGTTGGTAATAATTTATTATGTATGATGGTTCAGAATTTCAGGAACAATTACTTATTTATTTGATTGATGGATTGATTTTTTTTTTTCTATACTGGGGATTGAACCTAGTGGCACTTTACTACTGAGCTATATTTCCAGTCCTGTTTATTTTTTTTATTTTGAGACAGGGCCCCACTCTGTTTCCCAGGTTGGCCTCAAACTTGTGATCCTCCTGCCTCAGCCTCCTTGTAGCATGAGCCACCAACTTGGCAGGAAGGAATTTTTTTTTTTTTTTTGGATGGTGCTGGGATTGAACCCAGGGCTTTGTGAATGCTAGGCAAGCACTCTTCCAACTGAGCTATATCCCCAGCCCCAGGAAGAATTAAAATTTAAAAAAAAAATGTTGATGAACCTTTATTTTATTCATTTATTTATATGCGGTGCAGAGAATTGAACCCAGTGCCTCACACGTGGTAGGGAAGTGCTCTACCACTGAACCACACAGCCCAGCCCGGAATTGTTTTTTAAATATATATTTTTTAAAATTGTAGATGGACCCAATGCCTTATGTCATTTATTTTTATGTGGTGCTGAAGATTGAACCCAGTGCCTCTCATATGCTAGGCAAGTGCTTCACCACTGAGCTACAGCCGCAACCCAATAATTTTTTTTTTTTTTTTAAAGAGGAACTCCTCTGCTGTGTGACTCTGTGCATTTGGCATGAAATGGGTAGATTTGGGTTATTCCTTCAGAACTTCTCCCACCACTATTGGGTAGACTGACTCCTTAGGACCTTAGCCTCGTGTTGTGGAGTTATGACTGGCTTCTAGCTGGGCAGAGGAAAAACAGGGAAGAGCTTCTGCCTGTGGGGGAGGACGAGGATGGTGGTGTGGCTTTCCACCTGGGGATTCTGGGCCTCCTTCCACTTCAGTGTTTCAGACCTTGCCTCATTCCTGTTGGTGAGTATTTTTCTCATTTGTTGCTAATGAACAGTGCTGAGACGTTTTCAGAAGTGTGCCACCATGGATGTGAACATTTAGAAAATGTAGGCTGGTGTTTGGGCTAGAGTTCTAAAGTCGGCTGGGTCATTGAGGTGGAAACCATGTGTTATATTCATGCCGTCCACACTGACCCCACAGTCATCCTCTCAAGTCTCTCAGACATGTGTTTCCATTGGTCAGGCCTTTTTTTTTTTTAATATTTAATTTTTAGTTATAAGTGGACACAATGTCTTTATTTTGCTTTGTATGATGCTGAGGATCAACCCAGTGCCTCAGGCATGCTAGGCGAGTGCTCTGCCTCTAAGCCACAACCTGAGCCTTGGTCAGGCCTTTTATGTAAAAGTTTTCATTTTCTTCATGTAGGCCTTGCGTTCTTTTGGTGGGTTTATTTCCAGAGATTCCAATTCTTATTTACTTATTTATTTATTGGTACCAGGGATTGAACCCAGGGATTCTTAACCACTGAGCCCCATTACCACCCCACCGTTTTTTTTTTTTTAAATATTTATTTTTTAGATGTAGATGGACATAACACAATGCCTTTATTTTTACGTGGTGCTAAGGATCGAACCCAGGTCCCTCCCGTGCTAGGCGAGTGCTCTACCACTGAGCCACAATCCCAGCCCCAAACCACCCCTTTTTATTTAGAGACAGGGTCTCACTGAGTTGCTTAGGGCCTCGCTAAGTTGCTGAGGCTGGCTTTGAACATGCAGTCCTCCTGCCTCAACCTCCCAAGTTGCTGGGACAACAGATGTGTGCCAATATGCCCAGCCATAGTCTTCATTTTAAAATGCTATTTTTTTGGGGGGGGGGCTGGGGTTGTGGCTCAGTGGTAGAATACTCACCTAGCATGCACGAGGCACTGGGTTCGATCCTCAGCACCACATAAATGTAAAATAAAGATACTGTGTCCACCTAAAACTTAGGAATAAATATTAAAAAAAAAAATGTGGGGCTGGGGATGTAGCTCAAGTGGTAGCGTGCTTGCCTGGCATGCGCGCGGTGCTGGGTTCGATCCTCAGCACCACATACAAATAAAGATGTTATGTCCGCCGAAGACTAAAAAATAAATATTAAAAATTTCTCCCTCTCTCCCTCTCTCTCTTTAAAAAAAAATAAATAAAATATCATTTAGAAAATACCTTTATTTGTTTTTATGTGGTGCTGAGGATCGAACCCGATGCCTCACATTGCAAGGCAGGTGCTCTACCACTGAGCTCAGCCCCAGCCCTAAAATGCCATTTAAAAAAAAAAAATTTTAAATTGTTGATGGACACAATATCTTTATTTATTTTTATGTGCTGAGGATTGAACTCAAAGCCTCACAGTGTAAGGCAAGTGCTCTACCACTCACCCACAACCCCTGCCTCTAAATGCCATCTTTGTACCCGTGTGTAGGAAAGCCTTATTCTGTTTGTTGTCCAATTCTTTGTGCATCATGTGGGGTTTAATCAGGGAAACACACGTCTCCTGAAACACGTGTCCTTATGTTGCAAACGTTCAGAACCCTTTCTTTTAGTTTTTCAAAAAGCCCTTAGTAATTACATGGATCTATCTTTCTTTCTTTCTTCCTTTCTTCCCTTTCTTTCTTTCTTTTTGTTGGTACTGGGATTTGAGCCATATCCCCAGCCTTTTTTGTTTTTTATTTGAGACAGGGCCTCAGTAAGTTGCTGAGTCTGGTCCTGCCTCAGCCTCCTGATCTGCTGGGATCACAGGTATGCACCACATGGCCAGCCCCTTTTCTGATTCTTGACTTGGTCTGGTTTTAGGTATTGTGCCGTGGCAAGACAAGAAACCAAATCTTCGATGGCTTCGCTGGTGGCATATGATGACTCTGATTCAGAGGCTGAAGCTGAACCTGCTGGAAGTGTGAATGCTCCTGGGCAGATGAAGGATGCTTCTGGTGTGGTCACATCTCCCAGGCAAGACTTTACATCAGGTATAAAGGATGTGACAAACGAAGGGGCACAGGGTACAGAGCATGGTCCTCATGAAGATCCTGGGGAGCATCGTCTCCCCCTGGTTCGACTCTGGAGAAGGGATCCAGGATCTTGCCCCAGCCAGAGGCTACAATGGCCTGTGAAGGAGCCGGAAGTCACCTTCCCCACCAGTGAGCCTTCTCACCCCTCTTCTCTGTGGACGTGTTGTGCTCCTGCTGGCCACATGCCCCTGGCAGCTGCCCGCCTGAAGCAAGTCAGACTCTCCTGGGAGTCCCCTGAGCCATCCTTCTGTTCTCCAAACAGATCTGAAGCCACAGGCAAAAATGCCATTTCTTTTCAGAGGAAAAGGTGTGAGGACTGTGTCGTACCATACACCCCAAAGAGACTGAGACAGCTGCAGGCATTCAGCACAGAAACAGGCCAGAAGAAAGATGTGGAGCTGCAGAGCCCCTCTTCAGGTTGTGCTCCCGCCCCTCTCTGTGTGACCCCCAGAGTGTCCGAGTTGATTCAGCCATATTTGAACAGTCAGTGCAGAGAAACCAGGGTGCCCAGGACCGTGCTTTTCCACCTGCGTGGCCACAGGGGCCCCGTCAATAGCATTCAGTGGTGTCCTGTCCCCTCCAGGAGCCATATGCTCCTCTCCACATCTATGGACAAAACCTTCAAGGTAAGGCTGGAGTGAGCTCCTCTCAGACACTCTTGGGGACAGACTGCTGGGTTACTTGTGGGCTGGGGTGTGGCTTAATGGTCTTAGTGCTTGCCTGGTATGCACAAGGCCTTGGGGCAAAAAACCAGCATGGCAAAAAACCCAAAAGAAACAAAAAATTCCCCCAGGGTGTTTTATTTGTTAGCGTTGTGGTGGGCACAGGCTCCATATTCCTTGTTGGAGATTTCTGTCATTTTCTTTGGTGCCTCCTGCCCTCTGCCCTTTTCCTCATGCTCCCTTGCCCAGGCCACCAGAGCATTCAACAGATTATGGTAGAGCCAGAAGATATACTCTTGTTTTTTTTCCATAATGATGCTATATTATCTGACCATTGGATTATGTTATGATTTGTTGAACCCCTTCCCTATCGTTAGACAGTGAGGAAGTTTCTAGTATTGAGTTAGGCTGCAGTAATGTGCTGCTGTACGAGTTTTGTTCACCCTCCTGGCCTGGTGCTTCCTTCTGATGGCTCCTGGGAGGAGTGTAGGGCTCCTGGCCTTTCCAAAGAGTGGCCTGTGTGCACGAACCCGCTCACCCATGCTCACCAGCACCCACTGTTAATGTTTTAATGATATATGATGATGCTTCTTTGTGCATTACCTTGAATACTAGTGAGGATAATCAGCACTCAGGTTTTTTTTTTTTTTTAAATGTATTTTTTAGTTGTTGGACATAGTACCTTTATTTTATTTTAATGTGCTGCTGAGGATTGAACCCAGTTCCTCACACATGCTAGGTGAGTACTCTACCACTGAGCCCTAGCCCCAGCCCCAGCACTCAGGTTTTTATAATCTAGCTTTGGGGGCAAAAAAAAGAAAAAACAAGTAGGGCAAATGTTCTGTTGACGCTGGGCGTGGTGGTGCAGGCTATGATCCCAGCTACTGGGGCAGCTGAGAAAGGCGGAGCACAAGTTCTAGGCCAGCCTAGGCAACTTGTTAAGACCTGGTCTCAAGATGAAATGAAAAGGGGGCTGGGGTACCCCTCCGTGGTAGGGCGCTTGCCTAGCACATGCCAGGCCCTGTGTTCCATCCCTAGCACCACATGCACATGTGTACATGCAAGAAAGAAAAGTTCTATTGAATGAAACATCAGTGGAATTAAACATTTGTTTTCAAGAAATGCAGTGTCCCTGTGTTTAATTGAAGTTTGTGATGCTAACTTATGGCTAGCAAAATAAAAAAAGCAGAGGCTTGAAGAGCTCAAATTTATAGAATAGACAAAGGGAAGGCAAATACCAGTATCTGTCAAGCACCTCTTAACCAGCTGCTTTTAACTAGCTGAACTGAAACCTGGAAATCACATGACTATCCCGTTGGAGGTTCTTGGCTTCAAATTAATTTTTGTGACGAGGAGCTGGTCTCCAGCTCACGCTGTCCTGCTGAGTCTGGTGTGTCACCTGTGAAGGGCATAATTGTGCCTTGTTGTGATCCTGTGAGAAAAATACTTTTAAAAGCACTTGGTGCAGAGCTGGTGCCCACAAGGTGTTAGTAAATGTTGCTATTTTCGTCTTCCTTTCCTCAGAGTTCTGGAGCTAGATTATCTAAGTCCTTTTATCTGCAACTTATGTTTTGAACCTGTTTTCCTATGAGTGTTTCCTTGAGATCCTCCTGCTTCAGCCTCCTGAGTAGTGGGGTGGCAGGTGTGTGCCCAGCCTAGGAGGCACTTTCTCATGTAAAGAGAGGAAGCTGCAGAGTAATGGCGTCTTAGGGATGAGCTGAATTTGTGGGCATTGTTACTAGGCAGTTGGTCCAAGTCCTGAAGGAACTCATCTGGACTCTTCTCTGGCAGAGCGAATGGAGCCGAGCTCATGCTCTGTCTTCCGCTGGAGTCTGGGACTCTTCACTGAGGTCTGAGGTGCTTCTCCTGCCATACTGGGTCTGTGAAAGCTGCTCAGGAGGCCCTGGGTGGTCTTAACGTGCTTGGATTGATTTGGGGTCTTGGGGTCTCTCAGCTCCCCTCCCTGAGAGTCTGCTCCTATAGAGGCCAACAGGCCAGGGGAACCTATTGGGAGGGTTTCTGGGGGCCCTGGTGGGTGTGCTCTGTCCTGGAAGTGCCTGGCTGTCCCTGGAGTCCCAGGGTGCCTCCTGTCTTTGAGCTCACCTGTTTGCTGGGGCCTCTTCCCTGCTCTTCACTCTCTCTAAGGTCCCTGGATTTCTGCTGAGTGGCCAGCTGATCTGTGGCTGTGTGTGAGGCCGTGCTGCAGCTGCAGGAGAGGTTTGGCACAAGGCGGGCAAGGCCCTGTGCTGGGGGGCCTGACATTGGAGGTGTTTTCACACCAGGCTCCCCCCCCCAAACCCCGGCCTGGTGGTGGAACCCTGCTGTCTGGACTCCTTCCTGTTCTGTGCAAGTGTCAGTTGCAGACCCCTGGTCCTCTCCCTCATCTCTTGCTGCAGAGGCCACTGCACCCTCACCACAGAGGCACTCCTGCAGGGCGTAGGTGTGGGTGTAGTTAGAGTGGACAGGGCTCAGGGTCTGGTTTCATCTCCAGCAGCATTTTTTTAAGTATTTTTTTTTTAATGCCTTTATTTTATTTGCATATGGTGCTGAGGATAGAACCTAGTGCCTTGCACGCGTGAGGCAGGCGCTGTGCCACTGAGCCTCAGCCCCAGCCCCAGCCCTCCAGCATTTTGACATTGGACAGGCCTGTGGCCTCTGGGTGGGAGAGAGGTCTGATGTTGTGTGCCCACAGCACCTAGTGTGATCCCTGGCCCACAAAGGGTGGCTCCCTAGGGAGTGAGGGTCACTTCTCTAGGACTGGACATTTTGGCAGCCATCAGGAGCATAGGCCTGCCACTGACAGTGCCTTCAGATGAGGCTCTGGCCCTGAAGAGATGTGCGTGGATTGAGTGTGACCTGGCTCACCTGCCGGGGACCAGACTCTATTTCCCGATGGGGAGAGGTAGCCACGGAGCCCAGTGAGGACTGGAGCCCAGTGAGGACCGGCCCCCACCTGGAAGCATATTGAAGTGCTGTCTGGAGTGGAGCAACTTGGCCAGGGGATCGCTTTTGCCCAGGAAATTTAGGTTTTCTCAACAGAAGCATCTCCATGATAGTTTTTGGTCAGAGGGATTTTGAGTGGGAGCAGTGGTATCTGGGTGCTAGAGAGTAGAATGATGTCAGGCCTGGTGTCCCTGAGGATGCAGGAGGACTGCTCCTGCCCTGGAGGACCTGATGGCAGAAACCCTGAGCAGCCAGTCAGCAGTGACACCTTGTGACCAGAAGAGGGCGCAGTTGGTCCTACTTGGAGTGGCAAGAAGCCCTGCTGCTGGCCTTGGTTTAGCACTGCAGACTGTGCTATTGCTGTGCCCACCTGTCCAGAGGAGGGCTGTGTGCTGAAGATGACTTTGCTGGCATGGGGCCTCTGGGGCTACCAGGCAGCTTCTAGGGAGCCCTACCTACTCTATTTTGTAGCCCTCAGGGTATAGCCCCAAGGGTGGCTCTGGAAGTGGCCCCAGGGGCAGAGCACATGTGCAGTCCTGGGGTTGGGTCAGTGCTGACTATGGCTGCTAGGTTTATATCTCCTGGGGTGTTTGGAAATCAAGGCTTTCATACGCTGTGGGTGCAAACCTCAGGTGGAGTCCTCTGTGCTTTAGGATACCTGGGAGTTTTCAGGGATTGGGTTATATGGCAGATCTGTTTTGGACAAGTTGATTGAGCAACTTGGATGCCAAGACTTGAGCTTGAATCCTCTGTGCCATGTCATGGGCTGTGGTCTCTTGCAAGTCATTTCACTTCTCTGGGCCTCAGTTTGTGTGTCCATGAAGTGGCACCATATGCGTGCCCCTGTGGGTTCTGTGCACAGTAGACGCCTTGGGTGTGAACTCTGTGGGGTGGTGCTGGGCTGGTGTCTGGGTTCAGTGTGTGCTGGGGTCTTGATCTTTCCAGGAATCGTTTCCCTTCTCCAGCAGAGGCGGCTTAGGTTGCCTTAGTAGCTTGCTCGATTCTTAAGCTTCTTGAGCTTGGGAACCCTGCCAGACCCATTTTTATATTCTCTGTAGCATCTGGCACAAAATTTTGTACATGTTAAGTGATCAATAAAGATTTTAAAACATTTTCTGGGTTTTTATCGCACAGCTTGGGAAAATCGTACTTTGCGTACATAAATCCAGTTTGCCACTAGGGGGCACAGTAAGACTTCACATCTGTGCTCACCCAAGCTTCTAGAATGTGGAAGAATCCTTGATTCAAGGTAACATTTACTGAGAAATGATTTCTTTTCTCATCAGGAGAAAAACAACCCAATCCATCTGATTAATCTAAAGAACGTGCAGTGCCAGTTCTTCTCCTTCAAGTGTAGCTTTGGAATTCATAAATTTCAATTGGGCACATTACAGTGGAAAGATACTTATTTTAATATGTTCTAAATGTTCTGTGAGCTGTAAAATATGCTTATATTAGTTTTGAAAAATTTACAGCCAGAGCAATTAAGTAAAATAAAACAATGACTCATAATTCCGCACCGCTGCTCTGTTTTCTTTCCCGATGGCCCCTTCCTGCCCTCTTGAGGCGCCTGTATGGATTTTTCATGGCTGTAATCCTGGTGTGGATAGCCTTTATATACTCTTTTCATTTCCCAGTGAACTCGTTTGGCTTTACATGTTTGAACACCCACCACACCTAAAAGTAGAATTCAGACTTTGATGCCTTTTCTGAAGGCAAAGGCCAGACGTGGTGTGTTTTACTAAACAGTGAATGTTTCTTGTCTGCCCTGCACAGGGTAAGCATGCAGGGTCCCCTGCCAGGCTCTGCAGATGATTCCCAATAGCAAAGAGCACGTTTCCTCTTTCTGGGGACCCCATCCGTGCATAGGAACCTGAAGTTAATACACAAAGGTTTTACAATAAAATGTATGGATTAGGTGGTATTTATTTTCTTTTATGAAATCATTTGCTCTAGCAGTGTTTTCAATAACAAGCTTCCATAAAATACTTAAAAAAATAAACCAAAACAATAACCCTTTTCAGTTTCGGTCATGAATTTAATAGATGCTTATTGTAAAGAAGCTCGGAGGATGCAACGCAGTGAAGTATGAAGGAGAAAACAGAACAGGTTGATAATCTCTACCTGCAGGCCCCGGCCTGGGCCAACAGTTCCTGCCTGTCTTCATACTGCATGGTCTGTGCAGTTTTGAAATCTGCCCCACCCCCACCATCTTTTATAATGCTTATAAAGTGAGCTTTTCTTTCTTCTTTTTTGTACTGGTGATTGAACCCAGGGGCGCTAAATCACTGAGCCACATCCCCAGCTCTTTTTATGTTTTATTTTGAGACAGGGTCTTGTTAAGTTGCTGAGGGCTTTGCTAAGTTGCTAAGGCTGGCTTTGAACTTTCGATCCTCCTGCTTCAACCTCTTGAGCTGCTGGGATTATAGGCATGTGCCACTGTGTCCAGTTTAAGGTGAATTTTTCTATCTCATTAAATTCTTTGGAGCTGGGGCTGTAGCTCAGTGGTAGAGTGCCTGCCCAGCATGCATAAGGCATGGGTTCTGCAATATAAACAAGCAAAGCCCCAAAGCTTTCTTCAGACATATTGTAAACTTTGCTTCATCTTTTCCGTATTATTTCCTATATAATTTCCTGCTTTCAAATTTTAAAGCAACCAGTATTGCTGTGAACATGGGTAAACATAAATGTTGTCTTTTTTGTTGCCTTAATGCAGTTACAGAGGGCTTTGGTTAACACTCAGGCTTTAGTTAATAATAGCCTTCATGTGGTGAGTGCAACCTGAGTAGATCAGCAGACTTTCAGTCTCATTTTGTGTTGCTGCTTGGTAGCTGTGTAACTCGGGAAAAGTACTTAGCTTCTCTGATTCCCCGGTTCCTTGCTGGTAAAATGGGGATAATGGCTACCACGTAGCATTGTTGCTGTGGATATGAGATGAGATGATCTAAACCAGTGCCTGACACAAGCCAGAGGCTCAAGAAATGTGACCTTGGCTCCCGTGTGCCTTGCTGAGTGTTCACAGGCCGGGCACAGTTCCGAGTGCCCATCACCTCTTTTCAGGGGGCTTGAGGGGCCAGGGCTCTTCTTACTCCACTTTGCAGATGAAGAGGGTGAGGCACAACGAGGTCAAGGGCACACAGCTCATAAAGGATGGAGGCAAAATGGGACCCGACTCCCGACTCTGTTCTCTTGCCCTGAGAACAGAGGGCAAGAGGCATCCCTGTGCCTAAGTGGCTGCAGCTCCATCAGCTGCGAGTTCCCTGCTTCTCTCGGGAGTGTGAGGAGCAGGGTGATTTCCATGGTGGTCAGGATTTGCATTTTTTGTGGTGCTGGGGTAGGATTTGCGTTTTTATGTGTTTCAGGGTCCTCTGATTTATCATTGTTAGAATAGCTGGTTATGTTAGGTCTCTTAGGGGTGCCTGTGGAAAGTGATAGATTTCACAAAAACAAGGATTCATGGACTGTGCCAGGCTGTGGGTTCCGTTCAGTTCTGAGACAGTTGTTCTTGATGGAGTTTAGGAAATGAGATTGAGCCGTGAGGTGGGGTGTGGAGGAAGGCGTAGTGGAGCTTCATGCAGATGACTGGCAATTTATTCCAGGCACGAGGCGAATCTGTTGGAGATGTGAGGCGCAGCTGGAAGGAGTGGGGGCTATGTGGTGGGCGTCTGGTATTTGGGGAGTGAATGATGAACAGTGCATCGAGGGTAATTAGGTGAAGGCAGGAGAGAACGGCTGTGTGCGCACACACATGCACACCAGCGCATGCCGAGGCCCAGAGTGGGGAAGACGCTCCTCTCCCTCCCCACTTTCAGAGAAAGTTGAGAGTCATCTGAATTGTCCCAGAGGTGACTGTAGGCTGGGTGACAGCCAGGCTGTTGAGCCTCTGGGAAGAGCTGTGAGCTTCTGAGCTGGAACCTTCCCGTCGTGGGAGGCGC